AACAGACGACACCTTTGCCTGCACATGGTAGCTTGGGCCCACCTTGATACACGCCACCAGGTTGTTCTTGTCGGGGTAACGAGGATCACAGATGTGCGACACGACACCCACGAGGTCATAGATGACGCCGCTGTCATCTTCGACTCCCTCTTCAAGCTGTGTGGCAGAGAGTGGTGAAAGACTCCATGAGAGAGTAATGCAAAAATGAAAAATATAAACGTATGTATGTGTGTAAGTGTGTGTGTGTATGTGTGTGTGTGTGTGTGTGTGTGTGTGTGTGTGTGTGTGTGTGTGTGTGTGTGTGTGTGTGTGTGTGTGTGTGTGTGTGTGTATGTCTGTATGTGGATGTCTCTGTGTGGATGTGGATGTGTGTGTGTGTGTGTGTATGTGTGTGTGTGTGTGTGTGTGTGTGTGTGTGTGTGTGTGTGTGTGTGTGTGTGAGAGTGTGTGTGTGAGAGAGTGTGTGTGTGAGAGTGTGTGTGTGTGAGAGTGTGTGTGTGTGAGAGTGTGTGTGTGTGTGTGTGTGTGTGTGTGTGTGTGTGTGTGTGTGTGTGTGTGTGTGTGTGTGTGTGTGTGTGTGTGTGTGTGTATGTGTGTGTATGTGTGTGTTTGGATGTGGATGTGTGTGTGTGGATGTGGATGTGTGTGGATGTGGATGTGTGTGGATGTGGATGTGTGTGGATGTGGATGTGTGTGGATGTGTGTGGATGTGTGTGTGTGTGTGGACGTGTGTGTGGACATGTGTGTGTGTGGACGCGTATATGTGTGGACGTGTGTGTGTGTGGATGTGTGTGTGTGTGTGTGTGGATGTGTGCGTGGATGTATGTGTAGATGTGCATGTGTGGATGTGTGCTTGTGTGTGTACATGTATGTGTGCATGCGTGTGTATCACAAACACATACAAACATACTCATAGACACATACTCTTTTTCCCTATTTGTATATCTATTTGTCTGTCTGTCTAGTGATCTCATTCACTCTCTCAAACTCACAAACTCAATCAAAGTTTGCAGTTTGCAATAAAAGAGTAATGGAGAATGCCAGGTAAAGTATCATCATGTAAACAGCCACTCTGATTAAAGAAAACTCATTCTGATTTATATACACTGTTCACAACTTGTCTCTCATTGCTCCACTTCACACACAGTAGAAAAAAGGAGGATTTTGATCTCCTCAAGATTTTACAAAAAAATGATTTCACACACAAGCCTTCAAAAAGCCTGAATCAATTCCAAATAGCCGCCAAAATAAGTCTAACTAGGCCTCTATTACTATTTATTTATTACCATCTGATATATGCTAAGCCTTAATTAATTCTCATACTATTTTTTTTGTTATTCTCTATTTTACTTCACTGACATCAGTTATAAACTTAATAGGATAAAAGCCACTTCACATTGATTTTATCATAACATGCAATCTAAATATCTCACCTAATATAAAATGGTGGAAAGCCTTTCATTCTACATGAATTTTTTGATACTAGATTTCTTTCAAATCAATCTTTTTAGCTCCATTGTTCTAATATGAAGGGAGAGAATCTTTATGGCTATTCTATCTGCACTATGACAAGCTGTGAGTTGGGTTTAATTAAATCAACTTAGAACTAAATGAGTATGGGACTCGTACTGATTGAGGTCATAATCGTAAAATGTCAATTCACTTAAAGAAAGACATAACTCAAGTTCAGTCTTGAGTATTTTTAAAATCAATATCTACCTTTTCACACAATATCCAATTAAAGCCTGTCAAGAGGTTCTTGTAAGCATGTGACAAGAAGCAAATGATAGTTACTTGGCAATACTGGAAACTACCTGTTATTCTGCAGTCTTCACAGAAAAGTAAGTAACATACACCTAGGCCTATATCAGCTGTCTTTTACAAGCCTTTCTATTTTTTTCCAATATATATTGGTGCATGTGTTCTATTATATATTAGCATATCACTTGTACTATAAACATTGTGCAGAACCTTAGAGACAATAAAAAAATAAACTTTTTACATATACATGGATACTTATCCTTACTACAAATTTCTATTGATTTCCTAACTATCAGTTCATAAATTTCTATCGACTTCCAACCTATCAGTTCATCCTTTTCAATTTATTCACTATCAGTTCATCAATTTCAATCCACTTTCTATCAATCAATTCACATCCCATCTACCTTTAGCTTACCTCATAAAAAATAAACTAGCCTACATGTCTTTCTTACCTCTGCTTTGCTGATGTCAGACAAGGATACTGTTCCATTTTCATTCAGTTTTGCTCTCATGCCCAACGGCACCCATGAGTACTCCATGGTCTGATCTAGAAGGCTTAGGACATGAACTGGCTGTTGACCTGAAACATACAAATCAAGGTATATTAGGAAAAATGTTGAAGAGAAAGGGAATATGGAGAGGAGGAGGTTGAGCTCGAGGAAGAGGAAAAAAGGAAGAGGAAAAAAGGAGGAGGAAGAAAAGGAGGAAGAGGCAGGTGGAAGAAACAGGATGGAGGAACAATCCATCTTCCAAAGACTTCACTTCCCAGAAAACATGTGAGTATTTAATGAATAAACATGAAATCAAACAGATAATCAATTTAACAATTTGAACAATTTGGATGTGTAAGATTTAACAACTGAAATAGCTCCATACTTGACAAGGGGATTCATGCATTAGAAGTAAACAATTTTCAAGATACAAATTTTCATAATAATATATATATAATTCTTTTCAAACAAGTGCACTTATTAAAAGAAAAGTAGCTACCAGTTATTGCCCTCGGAATAAAGGCTTAGGCAAAAAATACCTTCACATATTTTCAACATCCATATAGTATTATTATTGCCATTTTATTCAAAGATAAAAATATAAACAGTTCATACAAAAAAAACAAAAAAACTCCAGAAACTTGCAATTACTACCTTCTCCCCCATCACGTCCTGGATGCCAGAACCTACAGTCAGATCTTGAGCAAGCGTTACCATATCGGCACGGTCGCCCTTGGGACTGCGGTGCCGAATTCTCAGGATATCGCTTTGAAGGAGTTGATGGGCTACCTGTGAGAAAAAAGGGAAAATTATAGTACTGAAATTTAATAATGTACTGTTCTTGGTCAGAAATGGGCTTCTTCTCGGCTGTAAAATATTTCTGATTTGTTGGTAGATGCTCATAAGTGTCCTCAAATACTTCTAATGATCATTCAATTTATTCCTTACTGATATATTCTCCCTTATACTCCACACTATGAAATTATTCCTAGAAATAGTGATCTTACATATGGGTAATAGAATTTGTTGTTGTTGTTTTTTTGACAGAGGTAACAGTAAATCACTTGATGAATCAGCTAGTCATTTAGGAGAATAATTACAGCTTATTATGGCTTCCTTTTTTTGTCTCTATCTTCCTACCTCTATCTCTAACTCTCCCTTAATTTCTGCCTCTCCATTTTTCTCTCTTACTGTCATCCTCTCTCATCCTTTCCCTCTCATCTTTCCTTCCTCTGTCTCTTCCTACCATCTACTCTCTTCCTTCCCTCCCTCCATCTCTCCTCTCCCTCATTCCTTCTTCTTCCCTCACTTCTCTCCCTCTTTTCTTCCCCCTCCTCTATCTCTCTCCTTCTCACACCTCTCCCTCTTTCCTTCCCTTTCCTCTCCCCTGTCTCTTTCCTTCTCACTCCTCTCCCTCTTTCCTTCCCTTCTCCTTCCTTCTCACTCCTCTCCCTCTTTCTTTCCCTTTCCCTTCCCCTATCTCTTTCCTTCTCACTCCTCTCCCTCTTTCCTTCCCTTTCCCCTTCCCCTATCTCTCTCCTTCTCACTCCTCTCCCTCTTTCCTTCCCTTTCCACTCCCCTATCTCTTTCCTCCCCTTCCCCCTCCCCAATCTCTTTCCTTCTCACTCCTTCCCTCTTTCCTTCCCTTCCCCCTCCCCTACCTCTTCCCTTCTCACTCCTCTCCCTCTTTCCTTCCCCTCTCCTTCCTTCTCACTCCTCTCCCTCTTTCTTTCCCTTTCCCTTCCCCTATCTCTTTCCTTCTCACTCCTCTCCCTCTTTCCTTCCCTTCCCCCTCTTTAGTGACCTCTCACCTCTTCCTCGCGCTAGGCCTCTCACAGCGCACTGTACTCTACTGTTTATCCCCGGCGCCAACGTGTCCTGCGCCCCGAACGAGACGACGATGACAAACTGCCTCCAGAGCGAGCAATTCCGACTCTTATTGTCATTCTCGCCGATTTCGCTATAACTACATGTAAACTCTTATTTTGTATATACTCAAAATGTTCATCAGAAATTGCTCTATCTGTATAACTGCCTTTTTAATTATTACTATTGTCGATACTCTAGTTATCAATATGTTCACGTATTTTTAGCGCCATGCTCTCTTATCACAAAGCTATTTGGTGGTATAAACATATCTAATGTCTTCGCCCGACCATGTGGCCATAGGAACCTTATGAAAGCTGTACTGTTCATAGAATGCCTACATATACATTTTTCCATTTTCATATGTTTAGTAACATTTCATCTATTGTCGTACAAAAACGACCTGTGTTCACCACGAAAACCCAAAGCCGAAGTCACTCTGCCCTCAGCGTCGGCTCGGTCAACACCTTAAGCTTCACAGCTTCTAGCCTAGAATAAACTAGAAAAAACTCTGCTGACATTTTACTCAACCATCAGTCGTAACCATTACACTGGTGGCAGCGGTGGGATACAGAGGACGGGCAAGGCAGGGACGCTCAGGGAAGAGCGGGGCGACCTGCCCGGCCCGCCGTGGCGAGCGGTCTGTCTGAACTGCTCAGACATTTCCATGAACAAACTTCGTTTTGAAACAATTCATAATGAAAAACATGAAAGAATCTGAATGAACATAAATTCCTATACATATGGTCACATGGTGGTTTCGTGGTGAAGGAACAAGGGTACCTTATAACACGGTTGTATGTAAGAAGAGCTATGGTGTTTACACAACTAAATAGCTTTGCGATAAGGAGACAAAATGCTGAGTATACGCAAAACATAAAAACATTTGGTTATCGAAAATGTTAGCAGTAACATAGTAATTCAGAATAAGCACTTTCCAACGAACATTTTGAGTATAAACAACACATAGTTGTACACATAGACAACGGAATAATAGCATGGGAAATTGTTCACAAGCAATAAGGGTTGAAATAGCGGGTTCTAAGGTAATTTGTCATTTTCACGGGTGTAGACCTACTGGAGTCGACTGAGGACAGTGGAATTACTGTGAGATAAGAACACATGGCTTTTCTGGTATGTAAGACGAGGGAGATCACGAGAACAGGTCACTAGATCGCTCAAGGGACCGCATCATTGCTCAACAACACAAGCTCGCCCGACGGAAGGAGATCGCCGACGGCGTCCTCGTCTTCCATCGTGTAACAGATAAGTCCTCTCCTATGCCTAAACTTGCTCCTGACTTCGAAGGACCCTTACGAGTTCTGAAAGTTCGGCATAACAAGGCGTTATGTCAAAATCTCATTACCTGCAGTCAAGACTGGTATCACTTTGACACGCTCAAGCTAGCCAGCACTCACTATGAGGAGGAATTCGATCGACAACGTTCCCTTACCAGTCTCACTCCAATAGATATAGCTCCTGACTCCACACCTGCTACTCCGTTGCCACTGTCTTCCCCAGAGCGTGCCACCCTTGGTCTTCCACAGACGCCTTCAGCCCAGAGATGATCAAGTCATCCATCCCGAGACCCGCTCAGTCGTGGGTCATCCCGCACCCACTCCACATACTGCCCGCCTTCAAGCTGTCTCCCACCTACGCGGCACGCCGGGACCGAGGCTCCCTGCGTCACCGTTATCGAGATTTCGTCTTCACCTTCACCCGCTGCAGCCGGATCGAGGACGATCCTGCATAGGTGGCCGAGCGGTTTAGTGACCTCTCACCTCTTCCTCGCGCTAGGCCTCTCACAGCGCACTGTACTCTACTGTTTATCCCCGGCGCCAACGTGTCCTGCGCCCCGAACGAGACGACGATGACAAACTGCCTCCAGAGCGAGCAATTCCGACTCTTATTGTCATTCTCGCCGATTTCGCTATAACTACATGTAAACTCTTATTTTGTATATACTCAAAATGTTCATCAGAAATTGCTCTATCTGTATAACTGCCTTTTTAATTATTACTATTGTCGATACTCTAGTTATCAATATGTTCACGTATTTTTAGCGCCATGCTCTCTTATCACAAAGCTATTTGGTGGTATAAACATATCTAATGTCTTCGCCCGACCATGTGGCCATAGGAACCTTATGAAAGCTGTACTGTTCATAGAATGCCTACATATACATTTTTCCATTTTCATATGTTTAGTAACATTTCATCTATTGTCGTACAAAAACGACCTGTGTTCACCACGAAAACCCAAAGCCGAAGTCACTCTGCCCTCAGCGTCGGCTCGGTCAACACCTTAAGCTTCACAGCTTCTAGCCTAGAATAAACTAGAAAAAACTCTGCTGACATTTTACTCAACCATCAGTCGTAACCATTACACCCTCCCCTATCTCTTTCCTTATCACCCCTCTCCCTCTTTCCTTCCCTTCCCTCCCCTATCTCTTTCCTTCTCACTCCTCTCCCTCTTTCCTTCCCTTCCCCCTCCCCTATTTCTTTCCTTCTCACTCCTCTCCCTCTTTCCTTCCCTTCCCCCTCCCCTACCTCTTTCCTTCTCACTCCTCTCCCTCTTTCCTTCCCTTCCCTCTCCCCTATCTCTTTCCTTCCCTTCCCCCTCCCCTATTTCTTTCCTTCTCACTCCTCTCCCTCTTTCCCTCCCTTCCCCCTCCCCTATCTCTTTCCTTCTCACTCCTTCCCTCTTTCCCTCCCTTCCTCCTCCCCCATCTCTTTCCTTCTCACTCCTTTCCCTCTTTCCTTCCTCTTTCCTTCAAAGTTCCTGTGAGTATCGGCCAACCTCCGAGCATTCACCATGGCCTCTCACCTGTGGTAAGCGACGGTGTGACTCTGTCAGGAAATCTGTTCTCTCTCTCCTCTGATCCATACTTGCCTTCTGCCTCCTTTTTCTCCCCTTCCTCCTTCTTCAGCTTGTCACGCACCTCTGTCAGCAAGATCTCAAACTGGTGCCGCCAAAACTTAACATCCTGGTAAAAAAAAGTAAAAAAATTTTTCTTTATATATGTCTTTCATATATTCTACAACTTTTGCATACATATCACAAACATTACCCATCATATATAATGAAAGAATATTATTAGCATTTGCATATAACAATTGAATTTTTTTATGAGAGATTATATACTTAATATTTGACTCAGAGAATGAAAAACCTTAAAAAAAATCTAAAAATCTAAAACGAGAAAGAACTTCCAAATACAGTAGTCCTTCCTACTAGATACCGTTTTCTATGTATCATGAACACTGAATAACATTTTGTGTAAAGGGGATACTCTGGAAATTTTATGCTTTTGAATATAATTCATTCTTTGATATATAGTGGATTTTTTTTTTCTCATCCCACAAGTTTTATCTTATTTATGGATCCTTTGAAGTTATGTTACAATCTAACATGAATTTGAGGACAAGAGATTTAAAAAACTCTCACATTGTCACCATTGTTCAGCCATTCCTTGTCTTCATTAAATATTAAAACTGGGATTAAACATGAAAAAGAGGAGAGATATTAAATTATTCATGTTTTTGATAACCATAATGATCTTGGATGAGAATGTGTCATATGTCATAAACCAAACAGAAGTAAACAGAAGAGAAAAACAATTTAAAGTAATGAATGACCAGTTTTAAATCCCAACCCACTATCATCAAGTTAGTTTAACCCATTGCCGCCGGGGATGGCATGTACCAGCCATGCCCACTGTGAGTTTACTTGTTTGATTGTTTTTACACATAGATGGCTACTCTTGTACTAAGTATCCAATGAGCCAATCATGAGTACTGCCTGTCTCGCCCGTTCACCCTTTTCATCAATTTACGAAAATATTTAACATTATCCTAATATGCTGTTAAAAATAACACCATCTATATTTATAGCACTAGTAAAAATACGTTTTTTCCCGCCAATTCAAGGAAAGGTGAAATCAGGACTGGCAGAGCCATCTATGGACAGAGATATTTCACAAAAATATAAAAAATGAGTAAAGCATTTTCCCCATTTTTTGTTCATTTACTCCGGCAGCAATGGGTTAATCCACCGGTTGCAGTTTTATATACTGTCCACTGTAGACTGCATTTGTTGCATACTACCCCACAAGTGCTCAGCCACCAAGGAGTCAATGAGTAGATGTGAGTAATGTCACCTGATTTCCCAATTCCTTTAATTTGAAGAAAAATGCTGTTCTTTTATGCCATTAACATCAATACTGTTAATATTATTGATATAGTAATCCTTATAATATTACTTAAACACTGAAAACAATAAAACTGACTCCAAAGTGACTGAGTACCTGTGAAGCCATCTATGTGTAAACCAATAAATAAACTTTTTGTGGATATGGCATGTGCATCAAGCTAAGACCTAGAATTTGTGGGCCTGTTTCATCCATAAAAAAGGCAGACTGACACATTAAAAATAAAAAAGAAAGAAAAATAAAAGCAAAAGGAGAACCAAGAATCCATTTTCACCTGAGCGCTATCAAGCCCGCAGTTCATGGCGAGGATGTTTGGCAGTTTCTTGTAGCGCCTCCACTGCTCTATGGGCTGATACCGTGTGCAGGAGTCGCACCACGCCTGCCTCGTCTGCTCCAGGCTCATGCTGCGCTCCACCACCGAGGAGAAGGGGATGCTGCCTGGTGATGAGTCTGTGTTATTTGAGAAAGATCATTTCCATGAACTGCTTTCAATTGATGCTTTGATAGTCTTAGGCTTTTAGAAATAAGAAATATGAATCTTATGTTGATATTATACAATGCTTATTTCCTTTGTGATATCACTTATATTAAACTTAAGAAACAAATCTGAAATTTCTGCAACCTAGTAAGATGACCTTAAAAATGTTAATGAGTTTGTGATTTTGAACTAATTTCTGTTAAAATATGAAACCTCGATAACTAATGGTTTTACTAATCTTTTCCCATCAAACTAATCTTCACTTAATAGATAAATCCCATATGAAAATAACTTCCAATAAAACACCAACAAAGTTGAATAAAACAAAATGATTTTAAGGAACCATAACAAAGAGGAGGATAAAAAATTGAAGAAGCAGAAAACCAAACAAGAAAAATAAGACAAAAAACACTTACCACTATTAAATTCAGGATAGGAAAGGTTGACAAGTAATGACGTGGTTTCCTTGTGGATCTCGTGGTTGCACCTTGTACATCTGTTGACGCTGACGGTGTGCGATCCAAATATGTCAGCGACGGGTGAAAACTCCCGCTTGTCCTGGCATTCAATGGTTTTGCCATCTATAACTACAAAAAATTTAATAACATTAGAGGAGCAGGATTTTTTTTATTGTTCTATATGGCTAACATAATAAAAAACTTAAAATGAACACTTTACAAATTCTGCTACTAATAACGATGGTAATAAACACATGAATGGTAAAACACTCTATTGTGTTGGTCCTATGGTAGAAAAACTCACAATGTACAAACTAGACTTACTGAAAATGAGACAACAGTTTTGGAATCCTCCTGAAGAAGAAAGGGAGCTGAGGGAGTATAAGAGAGAGAGAGATGAGAGGCAACGAGGTGACACAAGACCGGTGAGGACAAGTGAACGGAAGTGAAGGGAGGTCGGGTCAGGTCGAAGGATTAGGCGATCAATGTGAAGGGTGGCCAGCATCCTCCATTCCCTCCCTTATGCCAGCCACACTTTGCATCTACTGCCTGATCCTTCGACCTGACCTGACCTCCCTTCACTTCCACTCACTTGTCCTGTGTTCACTGTGTGTCTCTCTTCTCACTCTCTCTTATACTCCCTCCTCTTCCTTTCCTCTCCAGACCTGAAGATGAAATCCTGAAGGATTTTGAAACTGATGCCTTATTTTCAATAAATCTACCATAATAAAAATATTTAAAATATATAAAAAAGAAATGAAGAAATATACAAAACACTTTCCTTTAAAAAATAAGTAGATACCCTGATCAAACAAAAAATAGCCAAAAGAAACATTCATATCATATGTTTATTAATCAAATAAAACCGTAAACCAATAAACTTTTTTGAAAAAGATTGCGAAGATGAAGCGAGAATTTTTTTATGTGTACCCTAACCTTATAATCTTACGAAGTGTCACATCTGATAAAGGAGAGGAAGAAGATGAAAAGAAAGAAGAAAAAAGGATAAAAAGAAAGAAAGAAAGGAAGAAAGAAAGAATAAATTAATCAATTCTGGCTCTCATTTTCTGACTTGTTTGATATACTTACTTCCTACTTGATACTTAGGATCTTCTTAAAACAAAAGTGGGTGGGAGAAGAAACAAAAAAAAAAAAAAGATGAAAAAGAATGAGAATGAAAAGAAGGAAGAGGATGAGGATAATTTGTTGATGATGGTGATGTTGTTGATGATGATGAAGGGGAAGAGGGGGAGTGGGGGAAGAGGAGGAAGAGGAGGATGAGATGGAAGATGAGGAGGAGGAGGAGGAGGAGGAGGAGGAGGAGGAGGAGGAGGAGGAGGAGAAGGAGAAGGAGGAGGAGGAGGAGGAGGAGAAGGAGGAGGAGGAGAAGGGAGAAAGATCAAAACAGCAAAGCAGAAAAGTGAAAAATGAAGAATATAAACAATAAATGAATGTTTCTCATGTTGAGACTTATTCTCAAACATTCTCCACGAGCTTACTTTCTCCTCTAATCTCATAATTTTGGGAAGATTTCAAGCCAGAAAGAAAGAAAGAAAAAGAAAGAAAGAAAGAAAGAAAGAAAGAAAAAAAAGGGATAGAGTAAATGAAATCACTTCCATTCCACTATATCGTCACCCACATATTTTGCAAAAATGTTACAAGTGTTCCAGTCCCGTGCACTTGGCAACATATCATCTCAGACTTACCAATGGCTTTTTCTTCTGGTACTTGCACCTCCGCGGGTTGGCTGGCCTGTGAATCTTCAGTAAGTGCTTCTTGTGGGGCCTCTGGCACAGACGGCGGTCGTCCTTCAGCAGACACTCTTTCTTCGAGTGTTTCGGTGTGCAACTGTTGTAGGACAAACCTGTTCCAACTCTGTAAAGTAATGCAAAGTATGTTACAGATTTCTGTTAAGTATATAAATGTACCTGAAAATCTTTCTTTATCAAACTGAAACAAAACCAGGGGTAAAAATTACTAAATAATGATTAAATTGCAATACATAAGAGTGATGTAAATTACTTTGAAGTCACATAAAAGTTGTGTATATTTGAATTTTGAAATTACTAACTTCGCTGCCAAAGTTTCACCAATCATATTTTCATGTAGTTTAAAGACAATCATATTTACTGCTGTGGACAGTCTACATCATAACATAACTCAAGAAGATAGCCTTTGACATCCAGTAATATGTACATTCCTGATAGGAGCTTTCAAGCATAGTTAATTCTTACACATTTCATACTGCCATATGATTAAGAATAGGGAAACAGGAAAAAATTATGCACAAGAAGATTGACATAGCTAACTTTTTGCACATCTTTTGGATATCTATCATATATGTAATGCTTGATCTTTGAATGTTTTCTCATAAATCTCTTTTATTCTTATTACTTCTATTCATATTCACTATGTAATTGTCTTAACTTACCCTATGTTTACAATATTGCTCTTTACACCACACTTCTAAAACCAAATTGTAATACATATTTCCACTTCCTCTGGTGAAGCCAAAAAGATAATGAAATTATAACCATCATGATTACTTGTAATTTCCACCTTTTAATAATGGTAACATTAGGAAGTAAATCATCTGAATTGTGCTCCTTTATTGATTTTAAGTTTGATTTTATTTAGCCTAGTATCTTGATGCAAGTTATTCTCCTAAATGGTTCAAACATTTTATATCTGCAAACACTTAATATAACCAAAAACTATTTATGACTAACTCTATACACTTTCAGCATTTTTCATGCAACTGCAGGGCAATCTGTTTTGTCCTTCTTCTTTATGGGAAAGTTCACACTTTCAGCAACTATTGGTTAGATTACTGACTAACCAATAGCTGTGGGCTGTCTTCGTTTTATGAAAAAGTCAAATGAGATGTCTATGAACTATAATGACTCAAAGCTCTGTATTTCTGCTTTCAACAAGATCCATAATTATTGTAGAAGAAAAAAATCCATTACCACATCACGACACTAGAAAAAAATAGTCTACCTTTACCACTTATCCCTGAATTGTCGTCTGCATAAAAGCAAAAGAGATAAAGTAAAAAGAGGAACAATAACACACAAAACCTACCTGAATCTTCAAAGCAAAGTTAATCTTTGCCCTGTTATCCTGATCGGACAGTGTTAGACTCATGGCTGAGGCTTCAGGTATTGTTCTAAATGCTCTGAGGAAGTTGGATGCATGGCAAGGTATCCCTTGGCCCATGCTGACATCCAGCATGTGAAACAGGAATCCCAGTTCACACACCAAGCAGAACTCTCGCTCGCACAAGTGGGACATCATCAGTGCTCGAAGAGGGGCAACATAGTAGAACATCTGCAATTGTAAAGGGTTCTTTTATTTTTTAATTCTTAAAATTCCAAACACATTAATTTTCCATTCTGTAGGAAGACTCCTTTTACAAAAAAAAATATTACACATGATGAATATAAATTTTTTGACAAGATATTAATCCTTTGTTCGCAGGTGGCATCTACTATTATGCTTAAGCAGCATAGTGCCAATGGTGTGGGTGGCATCCCTACAGATGCGGCCCATCAAATATACCCTTTTGGTGGACCACATGGCCACTGAAAAGCCCGCGCACATTGGGTTATTTGCGGTAGAAATTTCAATAAAATGCATGATAAATAGCTCTCAGGCAGAAAATCTGGTTCATATATATATACATATATTTTTTACAGAGCTAATTTTACAATACAAGTAATTTTCTGTAATAAAACATTACAAGTAGACAAAGAAGGAGAATAACAAAAGCATTAAGAAAAAAATAAACACATCAGAAACTGCCCCAAGCTAAAAACTTAAAAGAATTTCCCTACTCTTTTCACATCATCTTCTCTAAAAACTGAATAAACACACAATCATACAATGATCAAGACAAACCTGTAGCATAGGATTGCAATAAGAATTGGGGAGAGACATATCCAGCCCCGAAAAACTTGTACGATTATACTGGTCGTAATCAAAGTCGTCCATCCCCAACTTGCTGTATTTAATCTCCATTTTGCGATATCTCCAGGGAACGTGCACTGCAATGCCATCTTCATTCTTGCCTGTTGAATTCTCGTTGGAGTTTGACTTTGGTCCTTTGTTTCGGCTGAACTTGTAAGGCACCTATGAACAAGGAAATAAAATATCAAGACGGTTTTATTCTTTCAATGAGTCTTCCAGTAATAGAGTTTGGAATAGCCGTACACAAAAAAGATATTTTACATTATCTACTACAAGCTGCAAAATATAACTATCCTTCAATGTAACTATCCCACAAACTTGAAACCATACAAATCAATAAAAAGTAATGGCGATGTGTTTCCATTTTTCAATACAATACCCAGGCCATCTAAAACACATATGAACATCATGGTGTGTGCCTTCAGTGGGAAAGACCATGTTTTCAAGACTTATAAGCCTCATTGAAGATATTGACACAAATAATGAAGTCTTAATGTTATTTTAAAGCCTGATCTTCTACAAAAATTCCCTAGTGTCATGGTGCAAAGTCTGTATGATATAGAAGTTTTTGACTGTGATTAAAGAGCAATAATTCTTGGCATGGAATGATCTACATGCTATCTGAAGTTAAAGGGTTAATAATCATAATAAATAAAAAATAATAAATGATTTTTCAACACATATTTAAGCTGAAGCATTCCTTGACCTCACACTATGGAGAGAATGGCTAGAAATTGTAATGGTAAAGCTAACACCCACATTTTCTTACTGAATGAGAAAAGTATAGCACAGAGGCGTGGAATAGTATTAAATAATGTAGTTTGTCCAACAGCACAAATACCAAGAGAAACAATACATTTTAGAGTAAAAATGCATCTGTCTAGACACCTACATATCTGGGAATAGACCATAATCTCAACTGTAATGCTGAAAGTCTGAGTACCATAATATTTCCTAACTAACATGATGCATAACCAAAGACAACTTATCTAGGCCTATTTATTTTTATTCACCCCTCTCACTGACTGTAATGGATTCTCAAGAACTACAATATATACTAGGAGATAATAGATCAATGTGGAGCTTCTCAACAACACAGTCCACATTTTAACCCATTGCTGCTAGGGAAAATGAATAAAAAATGGGGAAAATGCTGTGCTCATTCTTTATATTTTTTTATGAAATGTCTCTACACATAGATGGCTCTGCTAGTGCTTAGCCTTACCTGATTTCACTTTCCTTGAATTGGCGGGAAAAGTAATTTTTACTAGTGCTATGAATATCAATAGTGTTATTTTTATTATAATTATTATAATTACTATAATGTTATAAACATTAGTAATAGCAAAATAAGATAACGCAAAATATTTTTGTAAATCAAAGAAAAGGATAAACAGGCGAAACAAGCAGTACTCGTAATTGGCTCATTGGTGACTTAGTACAAGCGTAGCCATCTATGTATAAAAACAATTAAAAAGTAAACTCACAGTGGGCGTGGCATGGCATGCCCGTCGGCAATGGGTTAATATTCTGACATAGCAAAATACATCTACTTCCTCTTCCTTGAATTAAATGGCCATACAAAATTAACCCAATCACCCACTGTGGCAAGAATACATTCCATGCTCACTGTAGTACAAGTTTATTTATTGTATTTACATATAGATAGTAAGTTCTTAATCACCAAATAGCCAGTTATTAGAACTACCTATCTCACCTGTTAACCCATTTCCTTCGCTTTTGGAAAGGGTCTTTCGTATCATTTCATTGTCTAAAACATTTCAATACCAATCTAAAAATCATAACATCAATAATAACAATAGCAGTATCGACAGCAATGGCATTAATAAGAAAAACACATCTCCCAGTCATTTCAAGGAATGATAAAATCAGGATCGGTAACTAGGGACTACTGATAGACTCCTTGCCAGCTGAGCATATGTGGAGCCATCTGTATGTAACAAAATTCACCAAAAACTACAGGGGACACAACATAAATCTGTGGCAGTTGAGTTAAATGTGTACTGGCTCCTTGAAGGCACTAGTATCAATAAACACAATTCACTCACCTGATTCCTTTTCCTGTTGTGTAAATTTGGTGCATAGCCAATGGAACCTACAATCTTCATGCTTGCTAGAATAGATGGATCAACAGGAGGGGTTGGCCTGTTGATATAAAAATATGTATCAGAGAAAAAATGACAAACATATTCAAGATCCACAGAAAAAAGGCTATCATACACAGGCCAAGATGATTGTTTACACTGAGGTTTTTGAATGAGCATGCAAATGAAAAAATGCTATAGTTTACAACTCTCAAGTATATGTTTCCACAGCAAATCTTTTCATGATCCAGAAATCTTCCATGATGAAGGGAATGCAAGCAAATATTATTCCTCAATATTCATATATGCTTCCATAAACATCATAATTCATTCTAAAAAGTAAATAAGTGACAAATATTTAAATTCTATTTCTAGAAGGGAGGGGGAGAGAGGGAGACAGAGAGAGACAGAGAAACAGAGACAGAGAGACAGAGAGACACAGAGGTAGAGAGAGACACAGGGGCAGAGAGAGACAGAGGTAGAGAGAGACACAGAGGCAGAGACACTGACAGAGAGACAGTGACATTAACAGAGGCAGAGAGACAAAGAGTGAGACAGAGAGAGAGACAAACAGAGAGATAGACAGAAAGACAGAGACAGAGAGAGAGAGAGAGAGAGATCAGATTAGAATTTAAGTTGTAAAAGAAGCTATTTGCAAGAGGGTTGTAATGAAATACTTAGAAATATATCCCAAACTTTAACAATTAACAGTTGCAAATAGCATAAAAGCTTATTCGTAATACTTCAATATGATGGAGAAAATGGTGAAGAAATAGAAGTAAAAGAAGTAAAAGAATAAATACAAAAAACAATAAGTACAAGAAGAAGAAAGAAAAAAGAAAGAAGGGAGAAAGAAGGAGAATTAGAAGAAAGAAAGAAGTAAAGAAATAAAAGCAAAAAAGGAAGAACAAGAATAAAAAAAAAAGACAGAAGAAGAAGTGAGAAGAAGGAGAAGAGAGAAGAACAAGAAAGAAGAAGAAGGCAAAAAAGACAAAAGATTTCCAATACTGAAACCACTTTCTTACCTGTACCGTGCCCTCATGTACTGTTCTGGCCAGTCCGATAATAACGCACTGGTCGGGTAGTACATAGGGAGCGAGGCAATGGAAGAGGTGGAATCTGTTAGGGGCATTGTCTGCACTTGTTCTGGTAGGTCTGGCATTATAGTCTCCTGTGGAAGGTTCGTAGATATAGGCATGACAAAAACCATACAACGTTTGATTTATATTCGTGTTATATTATAGGTAAACCCTATTTTGACTTTTGGCATTAATGTTTACAATGATATTTGCCCTTGTTCAATTATCATTTTTATATGTTGTGAATTCTAGCCAGACATGCTAGTATAAATAAATGCTTGCAAAATCATCACACTAATCATACTTGGACAAAAATAAGAAATAAATGAAGAAAGAAAGAGCACAATACAAGTATAAGATGATCAGAAGAGGAAACTTTCAAGAAATGTTATAAAATATGGATACTATAGCTCATTTATCAAAAAAGTAATAAGGTTTCAAATTAGAGATTTATTTTGTGCATATGTGGTTATCAATGGTTAATGTTTATTTGAAGAAGCCAAAGGATAGAGTAGGTAGTAAACTTCAACTGCCTAAATCATTTAGATAAAGATAAATATTCATGTTATAAATTCTTTGTAAAAAAAAAAAAAAAAAGCTAATGATGTAAAAAAAAAAAAAAAAAAAAAAAGAAAGAAAAAAAAATATATATATATAATATATATATATATATATATATATATATATATATATATATATATATATATATATATATATATATATATATATATATATATGACCTCTAACAACAAAATTATAAATTACATGGTCTTGTTTTTAAAGTCAGACCATAAACTGTCATGTTACAATTGCTACTCTCATTCTAACATTTCTGCTTGGAATATGATTATA